CAAACAAATTTTTTTTTTACAGTTTTTCTAGTTACTCTTAACAGAAAGTTATTCCAAATTATCTATCTGCCAATTTATGGGAAGTACAACTCTGAACTTTTTTGGAATCTGCAATTTTCAAAAGAGCTATTAAAAAAAAAATACTTTTGAAAAATGTCCTGCCATGTCCAGTACACAATAGGCCTTTATTATTCTAAACGTCTACCCTTACTTCTACAAAAAGAATGATCAGATCCTGCTAAAATCTTTTTATACCTTTTCTAGTGTTTGCTTAATAAGCACTTTGTACCCTTTTTTTTTACTTCTCATTTTTTAATAATAAAATCTTGGGCCTCCCCTGGTGGCGCAGGAAGTTGAGCGCCGTGCTGTGAAACTGTCCGCAGCCTCTGCAGCGCTGTCAATCCCGGCCGGCCAGCGAGGGTCACACATGGCATGGCAGACCTCTCCTGTCATCCCCGTTGCTCCCCTCAGCAGTGTATTTCGTCGGTCTGCCTGTTCTGTTCCCCACTCTGTCTCTGGTGAACCTCTCACCCTCCCCGCATCTGGCCTGTACCCCCGTTCTTGTGTAAAAAGAATAAATAAATCTTTAAAAAAAAATAAAATCTTATTTCCTCGATAACTTAAAAGACCTAATAGTCCCCAAATTACCTAAATCATAACTCCTTTCCAACCTACCTTTTGATTCATATTTATCTTAAAGGCAAAGTTATTAAAGGCAAAAGCCATGAGAAATGTCAAAATCCAGATAAAACAAGGGTTGTAAATTAGAGAAGGTAAAACAAACAGATCTGTGAGTAGCTACTTCATCTGAGCACTGAAAAAAAAAAAACAAGTTTGGTTCTGGGTGAGTCTGGTTCTATATCCAGATCAGACTAAAATAATTTGCTCACGAAGTTTTGTAATAACTTCAAACATTCTGTTCTGGCTCTGGGAGGAGAGAGATTTAGTTACACAGATGATTAGGAAACTGTCAGTTTTGTAATTTGTGTTTGCACCATTCTTTATCTCTATCATCCTACTTTCTATCTACACTGTGAATCTTATCAGTCTCCTGAAATAGTAATTTGAAACTCATAACAGAAATATATGCCTAATATATGATGCATTTTATTAACTGCCACTTTCAATCTTGTTCTCTTTATTTTCAAAAATATTGCTACCTAGAGCACATAAAATGTATTGACAAAGTTTCACTGCCAATAGAAAATAGGTTAATATGACTACGCATATCTTCAAAACCTCTGGAGAAGATAGTTATGTAGTTAAAAACTAAGATTATTAGGCCCAAGAATATTACTTTAAATAATTCATATTTCCTCCCTAAAGCTCAGTTTTATTAAAATAATCTTGAGGAGATAATAAAATTATAAAATGTGTATGGGAATATATTAAATGTAAATCTTGAGAGGAAAAATAAAACAACAACCACCACAAAAAACTGACACTGGAAGACACTGTCAGCATCATGGTAGTAAAGGCCAACAGAAGACCTTTAGTTAGAGTTTCAGTATTTTATGTATTTATTGAATATCTTGCTATTGTATTCCTTGAAACATATTAGGCAATAAAGTACAAAGATGCTTTGATCCCTGGGCTCTCTGTCCTTGTATTGCCAAGGCTTCACATTCCCTCAGAAAGGATACATAAGTAAACACTTATGAACCAGTGAGAAAGTACTCTTAAAATGTATGAAAGAGATGACAATCTAATATAGTCTATTAAAATTAGAAAGCAGTAACAGAAGATATGAATGAAGTCTAAGGAATTTCCTCAGAGGTGAGAAGTCTTTTACAGGGGAACACAACTGGGAGAGTTCTCTTAACATATAAGTGACGAGAAAGAAAAAAAAAAATAGTAAGCACTACTCAGGAAGTTAACACAGTAAAACAATGCATATATGTTAGCAATAAAGGTTGGAGGTGCTAATATGGCAAGGAGACAAGCAGGTAAATGTACATCTCCTTTCTTTTATAAAGGAGCTTTTATGTCCTTTCTAAGGAAGTTGGTCTAAGGGTAAGTTGGGAATACTTTTACAAAGATCAGTCTAGTGTCGCTGAAGAATCTGAACTGCAGTAGTTCAGAAGCAAGATGGTAAAAGTCTAAACTAGGGCAATGATAAATATGTAAAGGAAGTGAATTTAAGAAAACCTGAAAAGAAGAGTTGAAGAATATGACCTGTGACTACAAGACAGGAAAGAATCTAGGATTTCTGTAACATTTATTTCAGATTTTGGGTCTAGTCCTACTTTGGCAACAACTCAATCATGGGATTCATTTGACCTTCACAGGCCCTGTTTTGTCAGGAATTGGAAAAGAGTTGAACAAGATGCTCCTGGCCCCGCAACTTAAAAAAAAAATCTGTTACTCTGACTACTCAATATACATGGTCTTATACAGGTACCTCATACTCTATTATATTCAATAAAACATAAAGATTATTCTTTCTTGTTTATTTTCTTGCTCTACCTTTCCACTAATACAATTGCACCAAAATTACCTATGCCAAAATTGCAATGTAAGAAAAATCACAAAGACATTTTTTTATATAAGACTAATCTTTTCAAAGCTGCTAGTTCTAATTACATTTCCAGTATCGGCAATATGTTCTTTCAGAAAGAGTGGCTAACTATTTGTCAAATACTATTTTCACTAAGGTTAATAGCTATTCAACTTAAACATAGCATTAAAAAGTACATATAACAGAGTATTTGCCTAAATCCAATCCTAAGATTTTTATCTGCCATGAAATAGTCTTTTGAGACATTCCACCTCACAATAATAAATTCCCTAATCATATAAGTTAATTGATTAGTCCCTGTGGATGTATTAGATGTCTCACCAAAATTCCTAGGATTATTAAGTTTAACGACTGGCATTTAAAACAATGATTTTTGACTTGTCAGAGAAATTCAGGGAAGTATTCTAAAAAGATAACATTTTTTAAAAATTTTAATTTCTATGTCATAAATAAAACAACTATGCAGTCACTATGCTAAACAAGCTGAATATTTTATTTACTGATTTTGCTAAATTTTCTGAAGCACTTTAATAATGGAACTAAAGCAGAGAAAGGAAACTCAGCAGGACCATTCTTGCACCTCCCTGCCCTCAATTCTTTAGCACAAACCCCCACCATCGTGACCCCTAATGTCTTAGTAACATCTTAGATATGAAGACAAGTCAAGGTAATCCAGCTAGACTGGAAACTCTGCACTTTTACTATTTTACAATGAATTTAACTACCTCTATATTATTAAATTATAAAGTATGATTCCATGCTAAATGCTATCAAAAATCTCATCAAAGTATCCTCTAATTCCTCTAGGCTAAGTAAACGCCATCTTACTAAAGCCCTTTGTTTTCAGATCCTCTAATTGCAAAAATATGACATTTATTTTCTACTTACGCGATTTAAACAATGAAGGCATTCAATTCAATATTATACTAGATTACAAACATAGGAAGTGATATATGGTTAAGAGATACATAAAATGCATTTAAAGATTTATGGGCCTCCCCGATGGCGCAGCGGTTGAGCGCTGGGTGCGAAGTTGCCCGCAGCCTCTGCAGCGCTGGTTCGATCCCCAGCTGCCCCCCGGCCACCAGAGGAGGGTCCCACATGACGCGCAGACCTATCCTGCCGCCCGCTGCTCCCCTCAGCAGTGTACTTCGGTCCTTCTGCCTGCTCTGCTCCCCGCTCTGGCTGTGGTGAATTCTCTCACCCTCCCGCGCTTCTGACTGTACCCAGTGCTTGTATAAATAAATAAATCTTTAAAAAAAAAAAAAAGATTTGATGAAGTATGAAATATAACAGAAGCACCTCCCAAAGTTAGTGTAGGGAAGAAAATTACGAACAAGCATATATGGTAATGATTTAAATTTTTAATCTACCATGAAATCATGTGTGGAAACTTTTTTCATTATGTATAAAGTGAATCTTCATCAAGACCCGACAATATGCCAGGCACTATTAGAAGCACTGGAGGTAGAGTGTTGAGCAAGAAAAATAAGATAGTTTTCTTACAAATCTTAAATGCTAGTAGCAATACACAAAGTAAGCAAAATATCAGAGAATAACAAATGTTATGGAAAAAACATTGAGGGAATTTTTGAGATAAAGAGTGACTGGGTAACTTGAGAACAAATTGTCAGTGAAAGCCTCATTAAAGAAATAATTTTTTAGCTGAGTTCAGATAACAAAAAAAGATCTACCCACTCTTGAGATTAGGAAAGAACATTCAGCATGTACAAAGACCCCCGAACAGGCACCACCAGGATGGCTTTTAGGAAGAAAAGGCTTTGTGTCAGAAAAGTTAGTAAAAGCAAAGATGACTCAAGGTCAATAGCAAGATAAAAGTTAGATCACATAAGGTCAGAGTAGGAGTTTAAACTTTTGGAGATAGTTATCTGATTTTGGAAAATTTAAAACTATCTCGTAATGTTAACTATGCTTTTTAGTTATCAGAGTTTGGAATGAAATGATGACTTTCATTGAACAAACTCAGATAATTTACCAAAGAGTTGTTTGTTTGTTTTTTTTTCCCTCAAATTTGGGAAAGTAGCCTGTATGTATACTATTACAATCTCTAATTATAATTTTCTCCAGCTGATGAGAATATTAGTGTGCAAAGAGAACTGAAACAAAGTTTAGCTTCAGGTACTACTTTTCACTGTGTATTAGGTAGATTTCTATAAGAGACTGAGCTATCTGGCTTTTAAGTTTCCTTAAACTTTTATTTACCTTACCCGTACTCAATTAAAACACTGTATTCCGAATTCTAAATCCCTATAAATACTTCATTTTTGACTATATTGTAATTACTAATTTACTTTTGCCTCCCTGACATTATTATAAGCTCCTAAGCAGATAAAACTGCCTCTCATAATTATGAGTAACTTCCTGTAAATTTTAGCTTTCCACTATATAGCATATAGCTTAAAAGGAATCTATTTTAAAACTTAGTTGTTCTTTAAAATAAAACAAACAAAAAAAACTATACCTATTTGTTTTGCAGCCTGCAATATATCTTTTAAGTCTTCATTTACATTTTGCATTTCACTCTTCTCCAGTTTTTCATTCAAAAATTTTACTATCTTCTTCCATGTTTGGTCCAAACCTACAGTTTGTTCATGAATTTTAGATCTCTTCACCTGAAAAAGACAACATAATATGTAGATATATATAGAAAAATTTAAGATAGCAACATTAACTATATATAGAACATATTATTTTAATTGCTAAGAACAATGCAAAACAACTCTCATAAAAACCTTAACTGTTCATGTGTAGCAAAATTTTGTATCACTGTTAGAGAAAACATCGATTTAAAGTCAGTTAAAAATCTTTTCCTAGTATCAATCATTAAGTGAAGCTATTAATTATAAAAATGCATAAGGACTTTAAGCAATAAATCCCAACCTACTAGGAAACAATGTAAAATATTTTATAATAGAATCAAATTAAGGAGTCAGCAATTAAAATGAGAGATTTTTTTAAGAAAACAGTATAGGACCAATTCTTTCATACACTATATTATATGGCTCATTCCTTTATATGTACAGTTCATATACTGTCAGGCCTGTAAAGTAATAAATAGCAATTATAAGAAACATATATATATATGAGGCCAGCTACTGAATGAGTTCAAGAGATCAATATTCACATCTCCCATGTTATAGAATAGACCTTATTTCTGTTCATTTGACATAAATTTTACCATGTACTCAGATGATCGAGAGGTAAATTACTGGATTAAATTACAAAATCAACTGCAAGAGGAACCTTAGGTACAGAAAGTTTAAAAAAGGATTCAATATCATAATTCAGAGTAATGACAATATAATCATAGGTGTTTAATATAAGTAATCCCATAGGAGACATCAATATACCTATTCCCCTTTTTGGTACAATACCAAGAAAGAGAAAACTTGCCATTTTTAAGAACACAAAACTGGAAAAAAAGAATGTCAGATATCTGCCTATATTCTATGTTTATAGTGGTTTTTCATCTTAAAATTTTACCTTTAAGTCAGCCACATCTTCATTGTAATTATCTTGCTTGGTGACATTTGAAAAGGAACGCAAGGCTACTGTGAGACGAGGTAAAGCCATCTATGTTATTCAATCAGTGACCCATACAAGGAGAAACCTGAAACCAAACAGAACAAGATGATATTTATCCATTGGGAAGAAGAGATGTAACCACACTCAACACATTGATCTATACAAGAGAAAAAAGAAACCAATTAGTTAAAAAGCAATTGCTACCAGTGTTGAAAAATTCTCCTGGCTCCCAAGTTTTTTTACTCAAACATTGGCTATTGTTGGTAAAAAAAAAAAAAAAAAGAACAAAAAATTCTTCTTGTGGGCACTATTACATTCCTTCACTATGACTTCTACAGATACCCAAATATAGGTCTCAAATACTATATCACCACCACAAGGAAACCAACCAACAAACTCTAAAAGTATTTTCAGGTAGCAATGAATGCTCAGCTCATATTGGACACCACACATTTCGAATGGCAAAAAATTGGCAAAGAAACAAAGGCTGGTAATGTTTCTAGGGTTAAGGCTTTATAGCACAGGGACTATAGGACAATGGGGCATAAAAGATGAGTTATTAAGTGCTGGATTTGAGGTCCAGACAAAAGGAAAAAAAAAACAATCAATTAGGAAGTTTTAAAGAACACATCATAGTATCTAAGGTTAAAATTTATGGTTTTCACATACTGTATGATCTTACTTATATGTGGAATTAAAAAAAAAAAACAACAACACAACTCACAGAAAAAGATATTAGATTCATAGTTATGTTACCAGAGGCAGATGTGGAGGCAGGAAACACTACAGGAAGGTAGTCAAAAGGCACAAGCTTCCAGTTATAAGATAAATAAATACTAGGGATGTATGTACAATATGACAACTTATAGCTTGCATATGGTCTGATATATAGAAAAGTTATTAAAAAATAAATCCTAAAAGTTCTCATCACAAGGAGAAAACTTCTATTTTTTCTTTCTTTTTACTATATTTATATGACTAGATGGATGTTAGCTGAACCATCTGTGGTAACCATTTCACAATGTATATGCATCAAATCATCACATCTTTAAGCAATGTATGTCAATTACTTTTCAATGAAACTGGAGGGAAAAAGAAGTTATGACTGCTTTACCTGAAAAAAAAATTGTCAAGTAAAAAAATAACTAGTTAGTCTACACAGATATTTTTAACTTAGCAATTTTTATTCCACATCAATATGGCTTACAAAATGACAAATGTATAAATGAAAAAAAAAATCCCTTAAAAAAAATTGTAGCACCTGAAAATACATGTAATGTCTAAAAGATTGAAACCCTAAAAGCTCATTTTTGCAAGACAGAAGCACCTACCTGTGAGTATTTGAATGAATCTTTAGAGTGATGATTACAGATATTTAGAGGTAAAAATTAAAGGTCTTAAAAAAGCCAATTGTCCTTTTTAATGTTCAAGTAGGTCAGAAAGAAAATCTGCTAGTAGTATATCTTCTTTTGTGAAATGATACTAACCAATAATCAATCAGTGGGCTAAAATTCTAGTACATATTATTCTGAATCACCACATAGAAAACTGTTAAGATACCTCCTTTATATTACAAAAACTGCTTCTGAACTCTAAAAACAGTCTGAGACTGCTTGGTGGTTAACTTTAAGAAAATATATAGTTAGTGTATTTTTCATTACAAATAAATAAAATCTGTAGAACAGCCAAACTACATTTCTTAATGAGTATAAAGTCAATAATTAGCTGTTAGTAATCATGGATCCTGGAGAATTATTAGGAGGGGAAAAACAGTCAAAATGATATAATGTAGGTTAGTTAAACAGGGAATAATGGAGTGGGTTGTGAAAGGAGTACAATTATAATTTAAGATTCAATACTTTAAATGGAAGTACATGCCCACAAACCATATCCTGAAAATTAAACTGGAATATTTATATTTAATTTTACCTTCTTAAAAGGTTGCGGTATAGTTAACAGTCAAGATCAGAATTCAGAAGACATCAGCCTTAACAGATATATCATACATATAATCCTCTTCTGTGCCATTTCAAAAAGGGGTGATTTTTCATAGTAAATCTTAAGAGAATTTTTACATTTTATTCCTTACTTGTGTTGCATCTTATGGTCATCAGCTGGTTAATGTAGTAGAGTCACATCACTGGTACACTTAATTATTTGAATAAGTTGAACACAATGGGCAAATAAAAAGTACAGAGACAAAAGTCAACTAATACTCTAAAATTAAGAGTCAAATGAATTTATGTGTTAAACAAGAAATCTGAAAACAGCAAAGTACAAAAAGAAATTACTAACTCATTGGGCATTGAGAACAAATACATATAGTGAGAACACTTGTACTACTATATCACATTTAACACATGCTTTAATCTGTGTGAAAGACTGTGCTATCGTGACTATCTTAACATTCTGATCTCAATTGTTTATTTCACTATTTATGAACACAAACTTAATTATAAAAACAGGGCATTCTTTTCCCTTATGCTATTAGTCAGAAATGTGCCCTGTCACACAATTCACAAAACTACATATTCTCTGTGTCTTTTTCTAAACTGAATTGTCACTTCCCTATTAAAGTCCATCCTTTGCTAGTCACAGCTCCCTAAACTGACAGACGTTTGAAAGAGTTTAGTCCATATTTCTTATTCCTTCTTACATCTTTTTTTTTTTTTTTTTTTATAGAGGCATGTTTTATTTATTTATTTATTTGTTTGTTCATTTGTTTTGTTTATACATGCACTGGGCACAGTCAGAAGCGCGGGAGGGTGAGAGAATTCACCAGAGCCAGAGCGGGGAGCAGAACAGGCAGAAGGACCGAAGTACACTGCTGAGGGGAGCAGCGGGCGGCAGGAGAGGTCTGCGCACCATGTGGGACCCTCCTCCGGTGGCCGGGGAGCAGCCGGGAATCGAACCGGCGCTGCAGAGGCTGCGGGCAGCTTCGCAACCCAGCGCTCTACCGCTGCGCCACCGGGGAGGCCCCCTTCTTACATCTTAAATTCTAAGTCTTTTTCTTAGCAAAAAAATTATATGTATTACATTTAAGGAAAAATATGTTGCAAATGACATTTCCTATGTTTTAAAAATTTATTTACTGAAAGAAACACCATGCTTCAAAAATCATCAAAACATTAGGAACATATTTAAAAATTTTGCTTTCTCTGATGTTTCCAAAATTACAGCATGAAACAACTTTAACAATTTTTTACATGGAGTTATTTTTCTAAAATTGTTGGTTAACAATTTTTACATGAAGATATTAGAAAAATCATTATTTATTGACATTTTGATAAAAATGCCATGTTTAAGTTGAACACCAATATTTATAAAAAGTTCATATAAGAACAGAATATAAAATCACTAAGTATTGGATGTTGTTTCTATTCTTTAAGTACTCTTCCACATGAGTGACTTCTAAACAGGTGAAGACACCTGTCATTCTACTTCAAATCTTGTATTTACCAAGCTAATCAAGGAGTCCCATTTCTTTTCCACTAATTCCCCTCATTATACCTTTGATTATATCCTGTCACATAGAAATATGTAGAAACATGCATGAGAATTATATACATGAGTTTCAAGGTAGTATACTGAAGAGGAGTGAGAAGTGATAAAAGGAAAGTAACTAGCAATATTTTTTAAAAGAAAAAAAATATGAAGGAAATAAGGTAAAATTTAACACTTGTTAAAGGTACATGGCAAGTATATCAGTGTCATGTTATTTTCGGAAATTCTCCATATTCTTGAAATATTCCATAATTTAAAGCTATAATTAAGTTATAAATATATGAATGCTAATAAGAGATAAAAAAAGATCAAACTGAATGTCTGGTAAATCAGACTCTGAAAACTCTATCAGGTTTATGAGAGATTAATCATCTGCACAATGAACATCTGGGATACTTTAATGTTTCCAACCATAAATTCCACTTGACCCAAATCATTACTACCATTTCTAATCCACAGGCTATTTTATTCTTAGCATAAAAGAAATATACTAAGTAGATAAATAACTGTTTTCTATTTTTTAATATCCCAACACTTGCCCCAAGAAGCAAATTGATGGATATAGCTTCAAAATTGTTCTTGCAAATCTTTATGTTTCCTCAAATATATGCATCTCAGTTCTTACAAATTATCTTCTTTTATTGGGCCTTAGTTTGTATACTGTGTTTTCATTCCTATTCTTCAAAAATATTCAGGCACAGAAACATTAGTTTCTTTAGATACCTCCCCTTTCTTGATCATAAGAGTTACGTGTGACTACTCTATCAGGACTACATTGTCCAGATTACACCAAACTCTGATGACCTACGATTGTGTTCATACTCCCAGACTGAAAACCACACAAATTTTTTTTTTTCCAGGCTGGAATCGGTAATTTAGGATATCAACATTTCCACTTTTTCATTTTTTAATCAGTGACAAAGTCTCCACTTTGCAAACTTCAGGTTGACCAAGAGAGCATTCACTAAAACTTCTGGATTCAAGTTAACACACTGACCAGTCTCACAAAGCCAGCATCCAGATTACAGTTTCGAGAAGAGCAGTAATAGTGTACACCTTATTATTCCCTGGCACCCTGCATGGTTCTTGGCCTGTGCCACGGAACTCAAATATTTGTTCAAAGGTGAATATTCAGAATTTTCTAGCAGTGATTGTTACATTCTCCCTTACCACTCCAATCCTCATAATACAGTGATAATAATTTTTGCAAAGCAAAGCTTCCTTAAGTCTTTACATAATGCTCAGAAAGATCATTTAGTGAGTCTCCCTGGTGCCAAAGTACAACTCAGAGCAGGTTTCATTTTAGAAAACACATGCACACTGAAAAAGAGGTTCTGAAATTATTTTTCAAATTGATTATCACCATCATATCAATTTCTTCTTATAAATCATTTACTGAATTTTATAATTAAATTTCTAAAATCAAGATGAAGGTATATTCATTTCTATTTATGCTTAAGAGTAGAATTTTACTTTTTTATATTCTTCCACCTAGTAAGCTTATTAGGTATGTACCATATTCATTTGCCATTAAGGAATTTTTCTAAAAAGACAAGTTGTCTCATTGGTAAGCAAGGATTTCCTCTCTTGGGATAGAATATAAGTTTTCCTTTATCAAATTTATATGCCATGTTTCTTAGCTACACACAACTGAGTAACTTGCTAGTCACTGATTTAGTTTCAAAACAACCTACCAAGTCTTTTAAACTGCTAGAAAAACTTTAGCAACTGCCTCTCTAGCCTCTCCATAATCCTCAAATAAATTACCTTCCTTCTTTTGGCGTTCTGGTTTAATAGAACAGATATTATCCGGAATGAAGAGCTCCTTGAATTCATATGGTTTAATACTGAAATTCTCCCACAATATGAGGTGGTTGCATTTTATCACTAGGGTGTTGCTTCAAAGCAGACATTTCCAGACACCCCTCCCTCCAGAAATTCTGATTCAGTAGTTTGACAATCTTTGGTTCCCTCATTAAATATCAAATTTCTCTTCTTCAATAAATATAATTATTTCTCAGGCCCCAACTTATTAGAATGTCCTGATACCTACATATTTCTAGTTTTTTAAGTTATGTGCTTCTCCTAATTTTCCATGTCAGTTCAAACCTTTGATAATGAGTGCAATTTCTAAGAATTCTCTTTTAAAGAATGAATCACAGAAGTTGAGGAAGACTAGTCAAAAACTTTAAAACCAGGAAGACAAAATTGGTATCTAAATTTACAAAGCTCCCCAAGAGTGAGTCTATTCAAGTAACAGGAGCATAGTTACAGAGATCAAACTGGAAGTTAGTGAAGGAGGTGGAAAGTGGTGGGGACTATGAAAAATGGATTTAGCAAGTCAAAAGAGAAAAACTCCCAGTTACAAAATAAATCAGGAGATGTACTGTACAGCTTAGTGACTATAATTGACAACACTATAGTGCATATTTGAAATTTGCTAAGAATAGATCTTTAGTTTTCATCATAGTAAAAAAAAATTTATGATGTTAACTAGAGTTATTGTGGTGATCATCTTATGACATACAAAGATCAAACCATTGTGTATCTGAAACTAGTATAATGTAGTATGTCAATTATAGCAACAAAAATTTAAAAAAAACATGAAGAGGCAGAATGATTTAGCGGCAAAAATAGAATTAAAATATCAATGAGTTCAGATGCCAATTTGGGCTTGATGGCAGAAAATCAGCTAACTTCTCTGGGTATCAATTTTCTGATTGATAAAATAAAAAGGTATTAAAAACAACTGTTATGCCACTAGGATAATCAATAGCAGAAAAATGACAATGAACAAACAGTAGACATGCTCAAACATACTCACACGCTCATCTACATGCAAAATGGAGGACTTACATGAGATTGCATATGTTGAATGAACATTGATATAAATCTTTTATGTTAGGTATAATACTAAGCAAAAGATACAAGAAATAAGATTCAATCATACTATAAAGTATAACTTTACGTAATGCAAGACATTATACATATAATGCAAGACACATTAATACCTGTATTTTGATGGTTATTAGACATATATTACTTTACACACTCTTGGTAATTATGCACTTTTTTTCATAACTGTTTGGCTAGCTAAAATTTCAATTTCAGGCAGGTATCTTCTCAAGTTGAAAACTGTGCCACATTGTATCAAGACAGAGTAAAACTAAAAGGGCTTACAAGAACTACCTCCCCATGCTATGGACAATAAATGTACTTTAATTAATAAGTATTATACATGCTCTTGATGAATAAGTTTTGTGTAATGAATCCTTATGAAGTGAGTTATTATCACATAGAAGAGTAATGTAAATATTGGGAAGTCTTTTTTTCAGATAGAAATTGATTTCCAATTGGGAACTATATTAAGTCTAAGCCAACTCAGCAAAAAAATAAAATTTAACTGGCAAACACTGGCAGGTATCTTTTTGATCAAAGACAATATCCAGCCATGCTGTTCAAGTAAAATGATCTGCTCTCTTTCCATGTCTGTTACATATAAATATTGACAATAACTTATTCTTACAAAAAGTCTTGCTTTGGTGAACTGGCATGAAGAGCAGCCCCAGTTAAACTCTCTATTAAAAGGGTACTGAACTACAGAAAGTTCCATAAACACAGATATATTTTACTTCCTAAGCCTAGTACAGTGCCTGGCACATTTGAAGACAAGAATGAATGACAAAAGAAAACTGTTCACCAGGGATCAAAAAGGCTAAACCATTAAATATTAATTCCTTCAAATAAGATTTAGCCTCCACTTCACAGATATCTCTCCTTTAAGGAGCATTTTTGTCATGCAAGACTATTATTATAATCATTACTAAAAATAAAATATACACGAACAGGAGCACAATCCAAAGTAAAATCAAAAGCTGAATTATCAACTTTTGAGGACAATGTAAATCAGAAAATTTATTTCAATCCGTGAAACATGAAAGCGGATGGTGGTGGAGATGTAGGCCAGTCAATCATCATACTTATGAAAAAAAAAAAAAAAGAAAAAATGATTACTAGTATGAGTACATGATACCATTCACATCAAACTTTTGGCTACTGCAAAAATTACTCTTCTTTTAAATCAAATAATAGCAAAATACCTAAATACATTGCATTCAATGAATAAAGTTAATGTGTTAATTAAGAAGACCAAAACAACTGCCCCGCCCACCCACAACACCTTTTTAGTGCAACACGCATTTACTTATTTCAAAATGACATCAAGACTCCACGAATGCTAAGTTCACCTACAACTGGCATCCTATTCAATTGATTTACTTTTCAGTGAGGGTATTAAAAAAAAATATACAAGGAAGCAGATATCTTTCCCAAAATCTCCATGAAGAAAACGTTCTTATGGCTTTGTAACAAAAAATAAAGGTAATAAAAACAAATTACCCACACAGAGGGAAGAAAAACCACCCCATCTGCTTATCACGCTGTAGTCTAACACCTGGGCAATATCTGGATCGGATTAATTTTTAACCCCTAAGCCCACCTACTGATTCTAGAGTGGGACAAGACTGTCAGCGACCCCGACACGCTTACAGGCCAAGAGAGGGCTGACAGCTCCGAGCCTGACCCCAGAAGCCAAGGAAACCGGCCCCAGAGGCTCCCCGGGAGGACTCGCCCGGGCCGCAGCGCCCGCGTCCCGCCCTCCTCCCGAGGCAGCCGAGCCCCGACTCCACCTCCCACCTCCCGCCTCCAACTACTCACCTCGCTCCGCGCTGGCTCATGCGCTCCCCATCTCCCGTTGGGCTCCCTCCTCCGTGCCTCCCTCCCTTTCGGTTTTATTATTTAGACGTCCCACGCGGCGGGGGAGCAGAAGGCCGGGCTGAGGTTGCCAGCAGGCAGCCGCGCCGCCGCGCTCCGAGCGGGACCCCGAGCGGGACTGGCGGGGTTCGCTTCCAGGCGCAGGGTACGGGGCGCAAAAACTGTCTGCCGGCCGAACTGAAGCACAGCCCCGGCGAGACGGGACGGGGCGGGGCCGTCGCGGGCCGACACGTCACCCGCTCGCCGCCGCGCCAACGTCGGCACGTCGATCCCCCAGGCCCACCCCCGGCGTGTGCGCGCGCCGCCGCCCCGCCTCTCACTCGCCCAGGCGCAATGGAGACCCGGGCGCGGGCGCGGGCGCGGGCGCGGGCGCGGGCGCGGGCGCGGGCGCGGGCGCGGGCGCGGGCGCGGGCGCGGGCGCGGGCGCGGGCGCGCGCATTCCAGAGTGCTGCTCAGGTTGGCGCCTTCTTCACCAGGCAGATTGGTGGCTTTGAACTCTCAACTTTCCAGGCCTTTTTCCCTGGACTTACTCAAGTCGGCTGCGCCTCCTCACTGCTCTTCGTAAGGTGAAGAGGATGAGATAATTCGTCTAAAGATAAAGGAGAGAACAGCTGTGAGTATGAAGAACCAGGCCATTGTCACCGTCGCCAGCCTGGGCTCCTGACTTCTGGACACTTCGTACATGGTTCTCCGGCCTCTAGTCCCACTTGCCTTAAACTTTTTGGATTCTCAATGTATTCTTCTCAAGTTATCTCTATATTCGGTCCTTTGCTTGGAAGACTCCCACGAGAAACAAAAAGTCTGAAGCTTCTTTGGCTCAATTGAAAGGACAAGAGTTACATTAAGAAAAATTAGCTGCCCTCATGAACTGTGTGGTGTATGTGCGTAGAATTATGGACTAAAAGCCAGACATGCAAAGATGGTATGAGTTAATAATACGTCGTGGCTCCCTATTTCTCTTCCAGTCTCTCTGATACTACAAGAACGTGTCTTGACACCCAGTACAACTGTGTTTTATAGGGAGGCAGCCAGTTGTGATCCAGTGTACACGCTTCAATGGCCAGATCATATCTAGGTTTATTGAACACTTTAAGAAGGCCTTATACATCTAGGTTTATTGAACACTTTAAGAAGGCCTTATACAAGTTGGAATTATTTCAGAGAACTGCAAAAATGATGAGAACTCAAAAGCGTGACCAGCAAAGAAGTGCTGATCAAATTCGGGAGTATTCTCATAGAAGAGAGAAAGCTATTGGTATTCTCTCCAAATATGTAGCCTTATCATATGAGGTAGATATTTTTCTTGGGGTTAGAAGAGATGTGGACTTGAGGCAAATCGGTTTCAAATCCTGAAAAGAAGATTCCCTTCTGTCACTAGCCACAGAACTTGTCTGCCTTATGTTACTTCCTAAGGTATCCTTGGGTGTTTCCACTACTGGTTTAACTTTAAGTAGAATCTGAAGATCTATTTAATAGAGGCTAGATAGATGCAGGGGGGGCATGCATCAAAAAAAGACCTCACTAATGGTTTTGTTAAAGTTATTGCCAAGCAGATTTGATGAGTCCATGGTCCCAGCCTTTAACGAATTTACACGTTTGCTTATGAGACTAGACAAATGCATCAAAAGGTAAATAATGCAAGGACACCATGTAATAAGAGCTGTATTAACAGTCAGTGCTAGTAATGTACATGACAGATTAGTCTCATCACAATTCCAGACACCCAAGGGAGAAGAAAAAACTTGAAAATAGATTGTGCCTACAACTGCCCTTTTAAGTAGGGTACTGCTTAACTACTAGCTACTAGCCGAATATAGCTATTTACTCTTAAATGTGATTGATTCAAATTGACATGCAGTAAGTGTGAAATACACAACATATGTCAAAGATTTAGTACAAATTATATAAAATATCTTAATTCATTGACTACATGTTGAAATAATATTGTGTGTAGTGGGTCAATATATTAAAATTTATTTCACCTGTTTAACTTTTTAACATGGTCTTTCAAAAATTTTAAACTAAATATGAGGCTTGCTTAATATTTCCATTAGATATTCTTGGCCTAGAAAGAAAAACATGTACTCTATTTTACTCTAAGAATTTTGTATGTGCTGTCTTCTTTGTAGTCTCAAGGTTTTCCCAAATGTTAATGGAAAGATAGTCTGGTGACAGGATTCCTAATGAAAAGAAGGAAGATTATCCAGAAGTATGTCATGAAAAGCCAAAGAAACAAGACTGCAGATGCATTCTATGATAGTGAGTAACCTGTTTATTTATAGTGAGGGTAGAGACAAAAGTTGAAATTATATGGGAATGTATCTGTAAGGAGACTCAATTTTGAAATTAAGGAATTTAGTACTGTACACATCAGGAGTTGGCAGTTATAAAATAAGATTTCAAAAGCACCTTGGCCATATTTAGTAGTGTGAATTGAAATTAATGTATGCTTGGGAAACAATTTTAAAATCATGGTACTTAAAAATGAATTATACCCAAATTGTTCAACAAGAGATTGACTTCTCTAAAGTGGTATACTTTATAGATATTAAAAAAAATATGACATGAATTTCTATTGCTTTATATAGGGTTATAGCCAAGATGTAGATTTGAGTAAAATAGTTCAGAAAACAGTATCTACCCAGTGTAATTCCAGATACAGAAAATTATTTTTGTGTGTGTATAACTAGATCATTTGACTCAGAGTGCCTTAATGTCTCAAAAACAGAAAATCTCAAGGTGTAAATGTTTTCAACATATTTGTAGTACAACAATGTCATCCATATTTTTGGCACTGTTCATCTTTATGCTCCATTATCCTTAGTGTGTCAGTCTTTCATTCTCAGCCTTATTACCTCAAGGCTTGTCAAAATATGTCGACAAGCTCCAATTTATCTTCCAGCCCATCATTTTCTTAGTTCTCCTTGAGTATGATGTCCACTGGGTCTTCTCAGCTCACCAGTGACCCACAGACTGAGCTTCAGTCTTTCTGGTGTTACCTAGTCTCTAACTGCTGTCACTATTTCTTTTGCCTACTCCAGCTTACAACATTGGGTCTGAAAATGTCATCTGTGCTGACACCAGTGCAGTTCCTTTCCTGGAATTGATACTTAACCTTAAGAGAATGCTGATTAATAAATAACCCAATTATAAAATAAGCTTCCCTAATCTTTTAAATAAATGATGTTGGGAAGGAAAAAATTTAATCACTACCATAGCATGCACTATTGGTTGTCTACCTAAACACCACTTCTTTCCTTATCCTTAATTAATAAAATTACTTTGTTAGGTCACCAAACAACTGAAGAAATGAGTTCTTCCCATTATCAGGGAAGTAATCCCATTTTCCTTTGAATAAGAATGTTATATATGTGGTCAAGCGATCAAGGGGCAGCAACTAGGGAGGAAAATACAATGTATTTTACTCAGATGGCAAATTAAATGCCTATGAAATACAAACAGATATTCCTGGGTTCATGATGGTGGAGTTGGCATATAATTTTCCTACTATTCTTTCCTAGACACTACTGAAGTAAAAATGTAGAAATAGAAAAACCAAGAAATAGACAAAAGAATCAAGATAGGTATGTTTATATGTATGTACTTATGCAAAGGAGTGGAGGATGGAGAGATGTAATTGAAATTTCAACAATTTCCTGGAAAACAAAGAGCAGTGGTTTGATTATTAATAATACCTAAAAATATTGCCTAAATATATAGTGAAAAAACTTTACAAGAGTTAGTTTCACGGCATGACAGAAGGCAGAAGTGAGAATAAGGACTGAAAGTGAGGATAACATTCTAACTATGATATAATGGAATCAGTCAGCACATGTATTTGCTTCTCTCCTCCAAACACACTTTAGGCACAGTTATCTGCCACCTGACAAAAACAGAAACCAAGAAAGACCCTTCTCAAAGTCTTCTCTGAATAAATTGCATAAATAGTGGAGAGGAAGTGAAAGCTTTTATGTTGACAACACAGAATGAAACCATTCTGGTATTCAGGGCCAGCGTCCAGAGTCAGCAATCTGCTGATTCATCCTAAAGTGAAGCCTGGTTATTGGCATTCCTGACCCTGCCCAACCTAACCCATTCATTTAGTCACAACTCCCACTAGAAGAGAAAACCAGAAGAAATCTATGTATGTAAGTATGTATGTATGTATGTATGTATGTATGTATGTATTTTCTATCTGTCCATCCATTTATATGAATATACAATAGTCAACTAGCAAATCAGGAAAATTACCATTATAGAAGAGAAAAAGATAGAAAAGCTAAAGGAAACTGATTTAATTTGTGAAATAGATGAGAAAAATTTTAAATACCATTCTAAATAATACACTCTGGTATGCACACCATATATCTGTAAGATAGAGACAAGGAACTCTGAAAAAGGAGCAACCAGAGAATGACATTAAAGACAAGATAAATAAGAAATTAAATGACCTACTGGAGATAAGATCAAAGAAATCTAGAATGCAGCATACAAAGAGAATATGAGAAAAGTAAGAGTCATGGCGGGCCAATCCAAGAGACTGATAATATTCAATTAGTAGATGAGAAAGAGATTCAAAAACTGAGGAAATTTTTTTAATTATGATTTTTTAAAGAACAAAATGAAGGATAAGTTTTGTGTAGATTACAGGTTACTAGAAAAAGAGACTCATACTTGAAGATGTTTTCATGCAATGTCAAGAATAGAAATTGAATAATGGTAGTCAAAAATAACAGTAATGATAATAAATCCTCAAGTGTTTAAACATAAAAGACATGTTATCAACAAAGGAATGAAAATAAGATCCATTGCATTACTAGATCCTAGAAAACAATGTCAGACCATTTCCCAAGTTTTAGTGTAGGTATTTGTCAGTCTAGAATTCAAATTATCAGTTAACTAGGAGAGCAAAATAAAGATAATTTCAGAGCAGCAAGGATGCAGAATGCAGAACATGTGATATTAAGTTACCAAGCCATATACTCCAGCAAAATAAAGGGGAAAACTAAGAAGAAAACATAGGATTCTAAAAAAGGCATACCAATCCTAGAAAAAGGCACAGAAAAAGTCCTTCAAGAAGGCTATGCATCGAGTCTAGAAGACAACAAGTGTAGATGGGAACAAGAAAAAGGAGGGTCAGGAAGCAAGGCCTTATGGGAGGAAATGTTGGAGGGAGGGGAA